TAATTAAAAGTAATAGATCAGGGTGGTGCAGTAGACATTGCTTACCTAGATTTCAGTAAGGCTTTTGACACTGTTGCACATAGAAGGCTTATCAATAAACTTCCATCTTTAAGTTTGGATTCAAATATTGTTGAATGGGTAAGGCAGTGGCTGAGTGACAGGCAACAGAGGGTTGTAGTTAATGGAATATATTCGAAGCTTGGACTTGTCACCAGTGGGGTACCTCAGGGATCTGTACTTGGACCCATTCTCTTTAATATTTTTATTAGTGATATTGCAGAAGGTCTTGATGGTAAGGTATGTCTTTTTGCTGATGATACTAAGATATGTAACAGGGTTGATGTTCCAGGAGGGATAAGCCAAATGGCAAATGATTTAGGTAAACTAGAAAAATGGTCAGAATTGTGGCAACTGACATTTAATGTGGATAAGTGCAAGATAATGCATCTTGGACGTAAAAACCCAAGGGCAGAGTACAGAATATTTGATAGAGTCCTAACCTCAACATATGAGGAAAGGGATTTAGGGGTGATTATTTCTGATGACTTAAAGGTAGGCAGACAATGTAATAGAGCAGCAGGAAATGCTAGCAGAATGCTTGGTTGTATAGGGAGAGGTATTAGCAGTAGAAAGAGGGAAGTGCTCATGCCATTGTACAGAACACTGGTGAGACCTCACTTGGAGTATTGTACACAGTACTGGAGACCGTATCTTCAGAAGGATATTGATACCTTAGAGAGGGTTCAGAGAAGGGCTACTAAACTGGTTCATGGATTGCGGGATAAAACTTACCAGGAAAGGTTAAAGGATCTTAACATGTATAGCTTGGAGGAAAGACGAGACAGGGGGGATATGATAGAAACATTTAAATATATAAAGGGAATCAACACAGTAAAGGAGGAGACTATATTTAAAAGAAGAAAAACTACCACAACAAGAGGACATAGTCTTAAATTAGAGGGACAAAGGTTTAAAAATAATATCAGGAAGTATTACTTTACTGAGAGGGTAGTGGATGCATGGAATAGCCTTCCAGCTGAAGTGGTAGAGGTTAACACAGTAAAGGAGTTTAAGCATGCGTGGGATAGGCATAAGGCTATCCTAACTATAAGATAAGGCCAGGGACTAATGAAAGTTTTTAGAAAATTGGGCAGACTAGATGGACCGAATGGTTCTTATCTGCCGTCACATTCTATGTTTCTATGTTTCTATGTATGTGGGACTTAAAGTTTATGTTCAGTAAAATATAAGTTATAGATTTTTATGCTGTTTTGTGAATATGGGAAAAGCCATGTTTCTTTCTACCTGGAGATAATTAAGGCTCTCTTTACTACCTTAAGTTAATTATCTCCAGGATGGAAAGGAGGGAGTGACCTATGTAAAAGGGGAGTGCTTATGTTATAGCCACTGCGATTGGCTACTGTAATTATTTTGTCCCAGTCTTCCAACTGGTCCCCTAGGGGAGTGTCCACCAGGTGGGAGACCTGCATAAATACCGAGCAGGTAGCCCCCATTAAATCAGATAGTTTTACCCGTTCATGAAGTCTCGACTCGTGTTTGGGGGATTGGAAGCTATAATCACTCTGTTTCAGCGGGATTTCGGGAGAAGTTACAAGGATCAGCACTGCACGAATAGAAGGATCCTTTACACTAGCCTTATCGTATAGTTAGGATAGCCTTATGCCTATGCCACGCATGCTTAGACTCCTTTACTGTGTTAACCTCTACCACTTCAGCTGGAAGGCTATTCCATGCATGCACTACCCTCTCAGTAAAGTAATACTTCCTGATATTATTTTTAACCTAAAACAGGCTGTCTTTATGGCCGATCCCGCGGTCTGGATCCAGCATAGCTCGCAAGTCCTGTGCTGACATCATCTCCTGGCAGATGAAGCACCAAGAGGGGCGGCCATGAGAGACAAGTTCAGGTTAGTACCAACTACCTTTCCCTGCACCCCAGGGCTACCAGATGCAAGCAGAGCAGACCCCAGAAGGTACAGAGATTGTATTTTCTCGTTTGGTGCCATTAACGATCGCCCTCGCTGACTTTGGGGTAGCTTGATAAATTCCATTTCAGATGGTGGCAGCTGTGGGGGATAATGTCAGTATATTAAAATGGTTTCAGCATCATTCTAAGATTAATGCCAATCTCCAATCCTTTAATTCCACGGACTGTGCTCTGTGATTCTCGGAATGTCTAATGTTCTAGAAATATCTGAATGATGCCGGATCCAACTACTGGCAGTACAGATCCCTGTCTTAATGTGTCTTATTCTGTGAACAGGCCTCGCGGTCATAGAAATATCCTAAAGCGTTAACAGTAATTTAAAGTGTGATCCCTTGATAATGCATGCGCGTCACTTAGTCCATAAGAAACCTTCATTCTTACTTCTTGTAAATGTATAAACTCTAAAATATTCTCTATAGCATTCAGGTAATAATTAATGATTAATATCCCAATACTTAGCAAAACAATAAATGCTGAATGATTTTATGCGCGTGAGATCTGCATCTCAGCTATGTAAAAAAGTTAATAAATTTAGCAATAAAAGTAAAAACACAGAAACCACACAGATTGAATACGAATACAACACAAATAGTCACTATTTTAATAAATCCATTTGTACAAGGTTTTGACGAATCGATAATCAATACATTTGTTAATAAGGAGTAAAGGGTTTTATTATGAATTTTTTGTAACAATGAAGTATGATTCCTGAATTACAGAGTTTAAGTAGATCCCACGTTCTGAATGTTTTGACGTATTATTTTCTAGTGATCGCCGGAGATATCTAACTGTTGTTTCTAGCCAACAGGAACGTGATTTAAAAAAAAAAATCATTATTTTTGTAGAGCTTAGGTCAGTTAACAGACTTACATTGACATTTTGAAATGTATAAAGACCATGAGGTTAAAAGCTAGATTGTCAGAAAATGTCAGATATACAGCACCTCTTTTTGTTTTTAACAGTAACAGTAAAAATAACGATGAAAAATATACACCATGCGTAGAGGTGGTATGGAAAGAGGTTATATTAAAGTGATTATATTTCCTAGGCACTGATATAGCTTGAGTATATGTCATAAAATAGTGCCACCTCAAAGGTTGTGATGGTTGTGATTCCGGCTGATGAGTCGGGCTGCTGGCTTCTGGGGACTCGTGGCAGGCCTCATGGCCATCACCGGTGACAATCTTGGCAGGCGCCTGTTGCTGCAGCATGGTGCCAATGTCCCTAGTGTTGGTAGGATCCGGCACTGTGGGTTTCAATGACCTGCGTCCCATTTGTGTGGAGGTTTGTGGGCACCTTTGCGAGGTCCCAGGCTGGGTGGGGTTCCCCCTGGTCTCTAGCGCCGCCGTTTCGTGCCAGGTCGAACAAAAAGGGCATCGATCAGGAGGTTGAGGTGTCCAGTAGTAGTCTGAAACCTTCTCATCCGGCATGGATGCATGTTTCGGCAGATATTTGGGGTATTCTGTGCAGTGTTGCAGGAGCTCAACAGTATGGCCCATGCTCCGTTCCGCGGTCAATCTCCTCCCCCAGAAACATGACTTTTAAAATACATTATTTTAACATTTACAAACTGACAAGCCATAACCTGTGGGGTTTGTTTCCCTTTAACAATCCAGGTGTGATATTTCTCACCCAGTAGGAAAGAATGAGCTCAGCTGGTTAATGCCCCACCAATAGTACCTGCTCAAACCTCAAGGTTGTAGGTTAGATTCCTGGCAGGATCACATCAGCCTATTATCCTTTCAAGATCAATTAAACAAGGGTAAAAAAAAGTATTATTTATCAGCTGTCAACGCAGTTCATGCACTTACAGAAAATTATTCAAATGACTATTTTTGGGAATAAAACACTACATAATGTGTATAATTACTGGTATACTCCCGTCTCAGACCAACATAAGCCTTAAAGCGACTGATGTTGGGGGTTCTTAAACAAGTAGAAGATACCCAATAATTTACATAACCGGGAAGATTTAGCAATAAATTAATTGTTTAGCGCTTGTGTCTTTTTTAAATACCCTGAAAACATAACATGATTGTTTAAATGTCACCATCGTAATGTTTCAGACTTTACGGATTTCTTAAAATCTCACAGTAATATAACTAATCAATCATTTATCCCTTTCAATAAGGCAGCTTAACGTTGACATCTTCATCGGATCTCGTGCCCCAGCTGGAATTGTGTCTCCTCTCGCTAGGAGAACGTTAAACATGCGTTTTAAGCTAACGCCGTCTGTTTATATGTTGCCTCCTGCCCGCAAAACATCAGCATGAACTAATATCTTCCATTCATAAACATTTGCACCTGACGGCACTTCACCTGTTCTGAACAACATGTTCTGCGAGTAAATCTGGGCAACTCGTTACAATAAAATCACAAGTGCTGGTAGTGGGTAGGATTTGTTCAGGTAAATCAATGTTGTATTTATATATTATCCAGTCTGAGCTGAACAATTTGGGATAAGGCCGGATACCCCATGAATTCTCTTCCAATAGAGATTTACAATCTAAATTTAGCACGAAATTTCTTCTGAAGGGCACTAGATGTGCGAGTTATTTAAACCCGAAGCACATTTAATTTGTTAAGTAATACTTTCATACTTTGTTTCATTTATTCAACCTTTAAGTCTTCCATTCGAACCACACGCTGCTACCAGGGATATTATCTAAACTATGAATTTTAACAAAATTAAATTAGGAGAAACTTGAGAAATTATAAAACTCTGCAACGCCTTGTTGAATGCCATGCTGTGAGAACGACTCTCTGGCTGATCTCTCTCCAGTCAGCGTGGAAGCAATGTCTGGACTCCATGTGAATAGCTAGTGGAAGGATTTTTAGGATCAAGTCCCATGACTGGTGCCAGATCAACCACTAATGGTTGGTAAGTCAGGGTTCCCTAAACAATGTTCTCCAAAATGGCCAAGCAGCAAACAGTGAATGTATTGACGTTCTGATGTCAGACTGTCATTGTGCAGTACTGACATAATCGCATCGCTACATTTGTGTCATTGCAAGACTGTGTAACACAAAGGTTGGGGGAAGCTGGAACTTGGAGACGAGGAACAAATTTGAGAGACATGAGAAGATCCACAGGATTGGCAGCTTTCTTTAGTGGATCTCATCTCATTCCTCTACGCAAACCAATGGTTTTGTCAGAAAAACAGAATTGCAAAATCAAAAATCAATTACTTCTGTTGTGTCTAAGGACTGAGGTGGGAACCACTGGCGTTATGTTCCTGGCTTTTACTGAGAAACCTGACATAACGTCTGTTCCTGGCTCCTACTGAGAAACCTGCTCATCTCCAAATACCTTTGGACCATCTTGATTTATTCCACCAACCTGCTAGTTTCCAGACTGCTCTTTTCTAAGAACCTTGCACAAACCTGACAGCAGTAAAGTAGGAGAACGTAAAAGATCACAAAGCCAAAGATCTACCATGAAGGTCACAGAAAAGCCAAATGCACCAACATCCACAAGTCAAGTTTTTTCTTTTGGCATGTATCCTTGGATATTGAGAATTTCTGCAGCTGAATATTTAAAGAGATACTGATTGGCTTGAAAAATTCGTACATCTTGTGAGTGCATTATTACTATCAAGGGGCCACTTCTTTATTGTATGGTGTTGCCCTATGAATTTCTTTTTGCCTCTGTTTTTTTTAGGTGTATCTTGTATTTGATATTTGTATTTGAAGATTTTGAGGAATCCTGTGTTACGACCTAATATATAAGGGAAGTAATCACCTTTATTTTCATTTTTATTGCTGCACCTGGGTGGTCTACACATATATACAATTAACGGGACACATTGCCACATGTCTGAGAGATAGATGGGTAATGGGACACATTGCAACATGTCTGAGAGATAGCTGGGTAACGGGACACATTGGCTGAAAGATAGATGGGTAACGGGACACATTGCTGCATGGCTGAGAGATAGCTGGGTAACGGGACACATTACCACATGTCTGAGAGATAGATGGGTAACGGGACACATTGCCGCACGGCTGAGAGATAGATGGGTAACGGGACACAATGGCTGAGAGATATATGGGTAATGGGACACATTGGCTGAGAGATAGATGGGTAACAGGACACAATGCCACACATTGCCACACGGCTGAGAGATAGATGGGTAACGGGACACATTGGCTGAGAGATAGATGGGTAACGAGATACATTGGCTGAGAGATAGATGGATAATGGGACACATTGGCTGAGAGATAGATGGGTAATTGGACACATTGACTGAGAGATAGATGGGTAACAAGACACCTTGGCTGAGAGATAGCTCTGTAACGGGACTCGCTGGCTGAGAGATAGATGGGTAACAAGATACATTGCCACACGGCTGAGAGATAGATGGGTAACGGGACACATTGGCTGAGAGATAGATGGGTAACAGAACACATTGGCTGAGAGATAGATGGGTAACGGGACACATTGGCTGAGAGATAGATGGGTAACAGAACACATTGGCTGAGAGATAGATGGCAAACGGGACACATTGCCACATGTCTGAGAGATAGTTGGGTAACGGAACACATTGGCTGAGAGATAGCTGGGTAACGGGACACATTGCCACGTGTCTGAGGGATAGATGGGTAACAGGACACATTGGCTGAGAGATAGATGGGTATCGGGACACATTGCCGCACGGCTGAGAGTTAGATGGGTAACGGGACACATTGGCTGAGAGATAGCTGGGTAACGGGACACATTTCAAATACAAGATACACCTAAAAAAACAGAGGCAAAAAGAAATTCATAGGGCAACACCATACAATAAAGAAGTGGCCCCTTGATAGTAATAATGCACTCACAAGAAGTACGAATTATTCAAGCCCATCAGTATCTCTTTAAATATTCAGCTGCAGAAATTCTCAATATCCAAGGATATGTGCCAAAAGAAAAAACTTGACTTTTGTGGATGTTGGTGCATTTGGCTTTTCTGTTACCTTTATGGTAGGTCTTTGGCTTTGTGATCTTGTACATTCCTACTTTACTGCTGTCAGGTTTGTGCAAGGTTCTTAGAAAAGAGCAGTCTGGAAACTAGCAGGTTGGTGGAATAAATCAAGATGGTCATGGCCATCTTTAAAGCGGGGCAAACGGGGCAGCTGCCCCGGGCCCACTTGCTCCTGGGGGGCCCAAAGCAGCTACCCCGTGGGCCCCGCTGTCCGCTACCCCCTGGGCCCGCCGGTGCTGCGGCTGCACCGGGAGCCCCCATACTAAGAGGCCCCGGTCGTCACTTTGGCCCCCTTGTTTTACTGCAGCAGGCTGGAAGGAAGTGACTGCCGTGAGTCACTTCCTCCCAGATAGAATGAAGCTACGCGGGATGGAGCAGGAGGCCGTCAGGAGGGAGCTGGAGTGCAGGAGCCTCACACTCCCAACGACCTCAGCCTGCCGCTGGACCCCAGGGAATCCATAAGGTAGAGCTGGAGGGTGGCTTTATAAATGTAAACTTTGCATGTGTGTGTGTAAGTATTTTTTGTGAGTCAGTATGTCTGTGTGTGTCTTAGTATGTGTGTGAGTATGTATGTCAGGGTTTCTGTGTGTGTCTTAGTATGTGTGTATGTGTGTGAGTTTGTCTGTCAGGGTATTTGTGTGTCAGGGTGTCTGTGTGTGTCAGTAAATCTGTGTGTGTGAGTATGTGTGTCTTAGTATGTCTGTGTGTGTCAGTATGTCTGTCAGGGCTTATGTGTGTGTGTCAGTATGTCTGTGAGTGTCAGTTTGTCTGTCTGTGCATGTCAGTTTGTCTGTGTGTGTCAGTATGTCTGTCTTTGCGTGTCAGTATGTCTGTCTGTGCGTTTCAGTTTGTCTGTGAGTGTGCATGTCAGTTTGTCTGTCACTGTGTCAGTATGCCTGTCAATGTGTAAAAATGTAAACGTTGCATGTGTGTGTCAGTATTTGTGTGTGTCTTAGTATGTCTGTGTGTATCTAAGTATGTGTGTGTGAGTATGTCTGTCAGGGTGTCTGTGTGCGTCTGTGTGTCTATCAGTATGTCTGTCAGTGTGTGTCACTATGTCAGTGTGTCATTATGTCTGTCAGTATGTATATCTGTGTATCTGTATTTAGTATATCTGTTTCTCTATGTGGTCTGTGTTTCTTTGCATGTGTCTCAGGGTTTGTATATGCGTGTCTGTATGTGTGTCAGTGTGTGTATCTGTAAGTTATCATTGTATGTATTTGTGTATCTGTACGTTGTCAGTGTGTGTACCTGCGTTTGTATATCTGTGTGTGTGCATCTGTATGTAGTCAGTGTTTTTATCTGTGTATCTGCATGTGTGTCAGTATATGTATCAGTGTGTCTGAGTATTCATATGTGTCAGTGTTTGTATATTTGTCTCCGTATGTGTGTCAGGTTGTGTATCTCTGTGTCTGTATGTGTTAGTGTGTGTATCTGTGTCAGTCTGTTTTTGCTTGTGTGTTAGTGTGAGTGTCAGTGTTTATATCTATGTATCTGCATGTGTTTCAGTGTGTATTTGTGTATCACAGTGTGTGTGTGTGGCAGTGTATGTGTACATGTACGTACATCTCATGATTCAAATCGCCAACACTACACACAAGTACACCCCTGCATTCAACCTTCAACACTACATACAAACACAGTCCTGCATTGAAACGTCAACAATACATACAAATACATCTTTGTGTTAAACACCAAAAATATATATAAACACACCCAGCATTAAAAAAAAAAAAAATACACAGATGCATGCTTGCATTCAAACACCAACACCACCTACAAACACACCCCTACATTTACACAAACACACTCCATACAAAAACATGCTTCCATTCAAACACACAAACACAACTCAGTGCTAAATACTACTCTGCAAGCATGGGAAAATGGTTCCGTTACTGCGTTGGGAAGTGGAGATTGTGATTGCATGCCAGGGAGTTAGGGTCAGGGGGCCCTATCAAATGCTTGCCCCGGGCCCAATCATTATTAAAGACGGCCCTGAAGATGGTCCAAAGGTATTTGGAGATGAGCAGGTTTCTCAGTAGGAGCCAGGAACAGACGTTATGTTCCTGGCTTTTAATGAGAAACCTGGCATAACGTCTGTTCCTGGCTCCTACTGAGAAACCTGCTCATCTCCAAATACCTTTGGACCATCTTGATTTATTCCACCAACCTGCTAGTTTCCAGACTGCTCTTTTCTAAGAACCTTGCACAAACCTGACAGCAGTAAAGTAGGAGAACGTAAAAGATCACAAAGCCAAAGACCTACCATGAAGGTCACAGAAAAGCCAAATGCACCAACATCCACAAAAGTCAAGTTTTTTCTTTTGGCATGTATCCCTGGATATTGAGAATTTCTGCAGCTGAATATTTAAAGAGATACTGATTGGCTTGAAAAATTCGTACATCTTGTGAGTGCATTATTACTATCAAGGGGCCACTTCTTTATTGTATGGTGTTGCCCTATGAATTTCTTTTTGCCTCTATTTTTTTTAGGTGTATCTTGTATTTGATATTTGTATTTGAAGATTTTGAGGAATCCTGTGTTACGACCTAATATATAAGGGAAGTAATCACCTTTATTTTCATTTTTATTGCTGCACCTGGGTGGTCTACACATATATACAATTAACGGGACACATTGCCACATGTCTGAGAGATAGATGGGTAATGGGACACATTGCAACATGTCTGAGAGATAGCTGGGTAACGGGACACATTGCCGCACGGCTGAGAGATAGATGGATAACGGGACGCATTGGCTGAAAGATAGATGGGTAACGGGACACATTGCCGCACGGCTGAGAGATAGATGGGTAACAGGACACATTGGCTGAAAGATAGATGGGTAACGGGACACATTGCCGCACGGCTGAGAGATAGCTGGGTAACGGGACACATTGCCACATGTCTGAGAGATAGATGGGTAACAGGACACATTGGCTGAAAGATAGATGGGTAACGGGACACATTGCCGCACGGCTGAGAGATAGATGGGTAACGGGACACATTGGCTGTCTTAAATTTTAAAAGTGTGAAATTATTTTAAACTAAATTAAATTATACTAAACTACACTATGGATTGACTAATAGGGAATGGGGCTTTAAATGTGTCATGTGCTTGAGACTTACAACTTACCCTACAATGGATACATCCAAATACACATCAATGCAAACTAGATATGTATTCAGATATATTCAATGAAGGCTTATGTGTTTTCTAGCTACCATAACTACCTTATCCAAGACAAAAAATCTATGGATACATTTATACATGCACTGATAGACAAATCCTCTGACTTATTAATTCCACAATTCCTGGTCTATATTTATCTGTTATTGGGTTTCTATCTGAAAGCTTCCACTTTAACCAGAATCTAGTAAATACATATATTAGAACGCAGCAACAGAATATCCAAGAATCCACAGCATTGGTTAGAATGAGATCAATTTACTTAAACAATCGGGAATTCCAACAATACACATTACAATACAACAATCCCAACAATAAAACATCAACGTATAATGTAACTATTTACAAATATAACTCATGCATGGTCATAGCTACCTTTCTTTGAGATCTCCAGGATGGGTGATGGTACTTCCCTTCTATCTCCTCTCCTCTCCTCCTTCTGCTTAACTACTGACCCAACAGTTCCCTAGATATACTATTGACTTCCATTTGATTACATGGGACTCATTGGTTGGTGCTATGTTTGCTTTTTCCCTCCGGGCCTTTGGCTACACAACATACACCTCAACTGCCCCTGGGGTCTTTCTCATGTGTAGCTGAATACAATTAGAGATTGCTATTCTTATATTACCCTCTGGAACCTCAGCAAGATTATAATCATCAAACATTCCGATTGTCCCTTGGGTTGTGTGGACAACACTACGGATAAAACCTACTATCTTGACATACCGTTATTTATGGCAAAAAGCCGGAATTTCTAACTGACCACATTCTGCCCTAAGCCATCATGCATTCTCCCATTCTAACACATTTTGATATTATATTGATTCCATTTATACAACATAAAGCCAAGAGGTTATAAAATTAGCCTTTCCATAGTGTAACAGCTGAGGGATAGATGGGTCACGAGACACATTGGCTGAGAGATAGATGGGTAACATGACACATTGCCACACGTCTGAGAAATAGATTGGTAACGGGACACATTGGCTGAGAGATAGGTGGGTAACAGGACACCCTGACTGGGAGATAGATTGGTAATGGAACACATTGCCACAAGGCTGAGAGATAGATGAGTAACGGACACATTGGCTGAGAGATAGATGGGTAACGAGACACGTTGGCTGAGAGATAGATGGGTAACGAGACACGTTGGCTGAGAGATAGATGGGTAACGAGACACATTGGCTGAGAGATAGATGGGTAACAGAACACATTGGCTGAGAGATAGATGGGTAATGGGACACATTGCTACACGGCTGAAAGATAGATGGGTAACGGGACACATTGGCTGAGAGATATATGGGTAATGGGACACATTGGCTGAGAGATAGATGGGTAACAGGACACAATGCCACACATTGCCACACGGCTGAGAGATAGATGGGTAACGGGACACATTGGCTGAGAGATAGATGGGTAACGAGACACACTGGCTGAGAGATAGATGGATAATGGGACACATTGGCTGAGAGATATATTGTTAATGGGACACATTGGCTGAGAGATAGATCTGTAACATTACACATTGGCTGAGAGATAGATGGGTAATGGGACAAATTGCCACATGGCTGAGAGATAGATGGGTAACAGGACACATTCTCTGAGAGATACATGGATAATGGGACACATTGGCTGAGAGATAGATGGGTAACGGGACACATTGCTACATGGCTGAGAGATAGATGAGTAACACGGGACACGGCTGAGAGATAGATGGATAATGAGACACATTGGCTGAGAGATAGATGGGTAACAGAACACATTGGCTGAGAGATAGATGGGTAATGAGACACATTGGCTGAGAGATAGATGGGTAACAGGACACATTGGCTGAGAGATAGATGGGTAATGGGACACCTTGGCTGAGAGATAGACGGCTAACGGGACAAATTGCTACATGGATGAGAGATAGATGGGTAATGGGACACGTTCGGGACTCAAATATAAAGATTCCACAACAGCGATACATAGTGTTTTACATTAAAATCACCTTTAACATGTGCAATGAAGTGAACTATGTTGCTGTTTGGTGACAAACCTTTAAGAAGACCATGTGACTGAGTTAATCTGATACAACATTTAACCACGTGGCTTATTGTTATCTAGTAATTTATTCTATTGTTTGAGCATATAAAAGGTGCATTTAATGTGTGCTACGCCATGTTTGGTTTCTCTCTTTTTGCTCGGCCCCTTCTCTTTATCCTATTTTGGATTACCCAACGTAACACAGGACGGGTGTGACTCAAGATATTAAAACCATTTTGCCAATTAATATCCCGATTATTGTTTGATAGGATTCTGCATAATGAGTTCATATTCGAGATCACAGAATATAATTCTCACATTTTCTCTCTTAGATGTGAGCTAAGTCATTTCGTATTGGCAACCAAACTAAAAGTGAGTTTCAGCGTTTTTCCAGGAATAAAACATTAAGAATTCTCTTGATTTCACGTATGAGCTGTCAGAATATAATTATTGCTTATTTTGATTGTCAAATGCAAATATCTGTCCACTGTGACAATGTATGTCTGAATGTATACTATAATATAATATAAATGTGTGTCTGTATTTATAGAATGTATTCCTGGCTGTCTATGTATGTATACTATAATATAATATATATGTGTGTGTATTTATAGAATGTATTCCTGGCTGTCTATGTATGTATACTATAATATAATATATATGTGTGTGTGTATTTATAGAATGTATTCCTGGCTGTCTATGTATGTATACTATAATATACTATATATGTGTGTGTGTGTATTTATAGAATGTATTCCTGGCTGTCTATGTATGTATACTATAATATACTATATATGTTATATACTCTGCTTCTTGTACAATTCGCTTTATTTTAACAGAATGTTTGTCACCACTAAAATGACCAAGTATTTCCCTGTGAGATATCGCCCCGTGTCCCAATGCTCGTTCTCCTGTACAAACATTGGACAACGCACAACAATACAAATTATAAAATGTAAAATACTCAACACAAACATCGATGCCCCAGCCGTATCCACGCACACGAAACCAACAAAATGTAATTTGAGAAGAAAGGTTTTTACTTTTATAATGGATATAACTCTATATATTTCATAACAGGTAGTCGGCAGCGTGAGGAAGGCGAGGAAAGTAGATATACCGCCACATCGTTACCTATTATCTGCACCAACCATTTAGAATCCAGTCTAGCACACGGCCGCCCATAATACCAGTACAAGGGGAGTGCGATATTTTACTTGATTAACTAGGTTGGTTCGTATTAGTGAGATTTCCTTTTCATAGTAGTTAATAGAGAGGCTGGCTTGATCTTTCAGCCTGAATTGCTGAAATGTTTTTAGAAATGTGCTGTCTTCTTCTGGTCAGTTGAATTCCAGAACAATTAGAGACCCGAAGTTAAACAGCTTTCTCTGTATACGTGTATTTTGGACAGCGTAGAAGGAGCAGAGATACGTTTCTCCTGGGCTGATACAATGTCTCTGGTCTTGAATTTCACAGGAATATTGATAGAGCCACAAGAACACATGAAGAGGCACAAACTTACTATGTCACGATTTAATCTGCGATGAGCTTTGTGCTTTTATTCTTCAGTTTATGAAGAACTCCTTATTCTGTAAAAATACACATTTATATCTGTAAAAACCAGGGTCTAATTGAAGGAAAATCTGCCCTGCAGAGTTATCTTGTCTGAAAGGACCACCGGAACATCAGCCAATGTGGAACAGGTGTTGAGTCTGGAATTCTTGCTAGACATCATGCCAGCTCGTTTCTTGTGGTAGAAGTAGTTTCTCAGGTGGAAGCGGAACTTGTCGTGGAGCGAAGCATAGATGAAAGGGTTATAGCATGCAGAGCTCATGGCAAATAGGTGGCATGTCACCTGGATGACATTGATATAGTATTTATCCAGAATGGTAAAATCTTCATCAACATCACGGATTAGATTGACCACCTGAAGAGGAAGCCAGCAGATGGCAAAAGCCATGACCGAGATTATGAGCATGCGGAACGTTTTCTGCTTTTTCTTAAACCATTTGTCTTGGTTGTGAGACGCCGCGCCAGGAACGTTTCTTTTCCTCAGGTGGAAAGCGATGGCACAGTAAGATATGGTGACCGCAGATAGTGGGAGCATGTAGGACAAGAGGAGCATGGTGCAAGAGTACAAGAGCCGCTCCTTCTCATGGTGCGTCCAAAATTCCTCACAAACAACCATATCGTGGCCAATTTTCTTGAGATCAAGATAATGAGTGCGGATGGACGTTGGCATAGAGACTCCGATGGACACCAGCCAGATCACCATGACAATATAGACACACGATTTACAGTCTATTCTTCTTCTGATTGGGTAGACAACTACGACATATCGATCTACTGCAATAGCGGTCAACGACAGGACTGAAACAAAGACAGTAGCCGCCTGCATTAATGTGACAAAATGGCACATGAATTTCCCAAAAAGCCAGCCACGGACCTCAAATGCATAGGAGGCAGTTAGTGGGACACAAAATATGCACATCACCAAATCAGCAGCAGCTAGGTTCCCAATCAGGAAATTCGTGGTGTTGTGAAGCTTTTTAGTAAATGCGATAAGTAAGATTAGGACCGAGTTGCCCAGACAGGCCACAGTTACCAGTAGTGCGTAGAGAGGGATGAAAAGGGGTTTCAGAAGAAATAGAAGGTCCAGACCAGAAAACACGTGGGTGGCATTCGTTACAGACTCGTTAAATGTGTTCTCTGACATTATGGTGATTCCAGTTTCCACAGTGTCTCATCTCTGAAACAAAAACAGTAAATGTGAGAATTACGGAAAGCTGTCTTAAAATGTATGAAATTTCTAATTTTTTTCAATTTATTAAAAAGGTTATGTAACATTATTCTGTTATATTTTACTAAATCATCTTAACATATTAAACAACTTCAAAGCCAAAATTCATGGTGCAAAGTTTAAAACAACAAATTTAATCCACAATGGCCAATTTCAAAAATATCCCAAACTCTCCAAAATGCAAAAAAATATCAACAAAAAATGTCAGTAGGTTTTTGCGTTTGACTCCCTGGAGCCTCTCTAGTGATTGTTAACACATTAACAGGCAGTATAAACATTTAATATTGTGAGACGAGCTGTGGATTTGCCTGATATTATTCTGTTTGTTTTAGAACTTCTCCTCTATAAAGGTGATTGCTACATTCATTAGTTATAGGCATCATAATGTTCCCAGAGAGCACTCAATAAATGTTAATTAAACATCCAACACGTTTTTGTAAATAAAATAAAATCAGACTCGGTTAATTTGTTATGAAGGAAATCATTTTAGGCACATGGCCAGTCATACAGCGTGAATGTTAGTTAAAACGCTGAACGTTAATTACGCCATTCACAATAGTATCAGATTGGAGAGCAGAACCATTGCATCATATTTCCTTCGTTATTCGGAAATTAAAATACAAACAGAACTTTTATTTAGCTGACCTCTTTCACTTCCAGAGTTCCAATAAAAAATGGCAGAGATAGCAGAAGCACAATACAATAGAATCATTTAATTTAAATGAAGCGAGATCTGACAGTTATACACAACACTGCGTTTTATTAAGAGCAAGAAAATGGACGTTTTTGAAAAATACTCTTCCTGGCAAATGAGATGATGTAACTTCTTTTAAGAATATTCTACAAAAAAGTAATTAATCATGACTGACTGTTCCCTGGAAGAATACGCTCAGTGCGTACGATAACTCGTTTTTAAACATTAAAGCATTATCTAAGTCACGTTCTGGGGTTTACAGTTTTTTGAGAGCCAAAACATTATGTGTCTTTAAAGTGAAATGCTATATCTTGGCTCCTTTTATAGCGTCTTTCATGCTGCATGGACTGGCGCCTAGCGATGCTTTTCAGCAGGAAATTAGGAAATATTGAAAATTCTGTAAGAATACCCTGGAACATTATCTATGGAAGCAAATGAGAAAAGGACATCGGACAGATGATATCAGAGGAATTATACAATGGCCCTGCTCAAACGAGCTTGCATATATGTTTACCACTTATGTGATGGACCACCTGGCACCCCGACTGGGTGCCTATGCCAATCGATGCTTGCTAGCTGAGGCTGAAGACCATAAGCACCGCACCGGACACCATCAGCACCGTAGCCCGCCTAGCCGCTGCAGCTTGGCTGGGGTCTTGCTGTCCTTCACCCACCTTGGACCTAAGACAAGGATGCAACTTCCAGTGGGTGGACCTCTCCTCCTCCAGAGAGTATAGAAGGTCTGGCTGTGTAGCTCTTAAAAAAGCTAGTGATTATAGCCAGTATAGTAATCCAAGGAGCAATGCCAGGAGCAGGGATTATAGCTGGTATATCTGGTATAGCAGTTCCCTACAACAAGAGACAAAACTCAGTGTTGAGGGTAAAAAGTAAGACTGGTTTAATGGTAGCCACACTGGCCTTTTATGCAAGTCCCCATGCAAGGGTTACACCCACATGGACCTTGTTGGGGACTGTGATACAAACTTACAAACCAATAAAGACAGAGTTACAATGTATGACACTCCCACACGTAGCATACAATCTCTCCCCTCTGCCTGGGAGATAAATGGATCAGTAACTGTACTAATTCTAATCCAATTATCTCCAAGCACAGAAAAAAAATTACTTTTTTTTTTAAACACCCCAAAAGTACCCTAAAAATACATAAAACCCAACAAATGTTACATCCCCTAATAGCCCTGATCTGGGTGACCAACATATTCAAAAATCACCCAGGTCAGTTCAGGGGTTCAGGAATTTCCTGGAAGTCTTATTTTTGACCAACCGTGCACATGGTCCTATGCCCAAAACAGGTCCAGGGAATCAGGGCTAACGGTCGGTCTCTCTGTCTGGAGTACAAAAGTACATAAATCACATGAACAGAGCCTTTTCAAGTGCATTGGGCAAGGTATATTGCAGGGACCATAGTCCTGAGGCAAGAGGCTGGCCAGCAGGCCCCTCCAAAAACCCGTGACGAGGTTCAGTTCGTCACAACTTATATTTAACAAATTACATTTATTTAAAATTAAAAATTAAATCTTAAAAATCTGCTCTGTTGTAATTAGCTCTGCCCTAGTAAATAGCTCCTCCATCTTAGATCCCTGTCAGTCACGGATATAAACTCCAAGCTCCATTGTCTTCCTGATGTAGAAAAAAAAAACCCAATTCAGCATTGCTATCTTCCAACAACCTGCGTCAAACATCTTCCTGGAGGCAGAGATAATCAATGGCCAATGGGAACATAGTAACAGAAACAAACTCTCTATCTCTCCTCCTACAAAGCAATGTGTGCCATGCATGTGCCAGGAAGCAGCTGGACTGTGATGGCATGCCGAAATCTTTAATAAACTTTTTTTAAAGGAAACTTACCATCAAATGAAAAAAAGTTGTAAGTAATTTATTTGTCCTGTTTAATGGAATAAAATAAGAGAGGATTAAGTTTTTTTCTCCTCACACCTGAGATCAGAACAATTGAGCCACTTCTAGAATTGTGATTATTTGGCATTTAATCTCATTTGATTAGGATTTTGCAAGTTTTGCCAAAGGCAGGATTTATTCAGTTACAGAATGAAAACATAATGACTTTATCGAACATAAAAGGTTCACTCAACACGTGAATTCTACATACTGACACATGTTTGACACGTGCTGTCACCGGGTTAACCGTTTACTGACTCCTTTACTAAACCTGCTCTAGGTCTGAGATCCAGAACAATTAACAGATAGTCTGAAATTAAGGTAATTTAAACCTGAAATAATTTGGGTTCCGTACACAGAATCAGTTATTAGTTCTGATATTGTATGTCCTGCTTTGAGAACGTTTTGTCCTTTCTAAATCCTGAATTAAAATTGTGCAAGTAATCCTCAAATAATATTTAAATTATTCACTATTCAGAATATTGGGAAAGTTGAGCATTAATGCGTTTGTAGGTTTTCTTTGCAAAATGTCAAATATAATAAAGTATAGGATGAAAGAATGTTAAAGACTAACGTGGAGAGCGTTTATTCTCTAAGTATGTTTTTTTACACTTGAACAAGGCGTTATTAAGTCCATTATCTGCCTGTCTCGCAGTTTGACAGCTTCTATTCTGGGTCACTGTCTCTTTTCTCACCTGTTGTTACTGTATTATTTCCATTAGACGTGTCAACATCCAAATCCTTCCACTTGGCAAGCAGCCACTCACCGTCTTCTAACACAAAGTGCGCTAAACTCATGTTCATGATTTGCCCAATGATTACATTGACTCACTCGCGCCCTCATTAACCCTTACATTTCATAACGAATGCTACCAGGTGTGACTTCATTACCAGCTGCGGTTCATGCACCACTCTGCTTTGTCAATCGATAGAGTAGCCTCCTAATAAATTAGAACTAGATTATAAATTTTGTTCCATACAACAATCTCCATAACGTTCTTCTAACAAATAATAAATTATAAAGAACATTATTTAGAATCTGACATAGCTCCCGGCTATCAGGACCTCGCTCCCACACTCACCTACCTCGCAGACGTGGCTGAAAGGCTAAATTCCCTAATGAGAGAAGTGACCAACCTGATTACAAGCAGTCCAAAAATTGAAAACACAAACACGGATACCTATGCCTGAAAAATTTACAGGTGATCGTTTTAAGTACCCATCCTTTATCATGTCCTGTTGCTGTTCGATTTACAACCACGCACGTACCACTCTGATTCCGTCAAAGTACGTACTTTGATATCCCTCTTTTCTGGCCCTCCACAAGAATGGGCACATGAATTGCTATGGAATAATGATTCTACTGTACAACACTGGGACTCCTTCATGGCACTTATGTCCTTCATGTAGGACGACCCCCAACAGGCAAGATACTGCCCAAACAGTCATCAGAGCCCTGCAACAAGGACGCCCAAGAGTAGACGAATACATAACCGATTTTAAACATTATGTCAAAGATGTGAGAATGGTAGTGGATTCAGCTTTTAGTGTCTCAACGGAATAGTGTAGAATATACAAACAGGCAGCAACCTAAAAAGGACGTTCCCTCACAGTACGTCAAAGAAATAGAAAATATAAAAAGGGTATTAGGTCGCGCCAATAAATAAATAAATAAATAAATAATGCCAGTTGAAAAAGCCCTGTGAGGCGAAACGCATTTTGGCTGTATTATATTTCTTATACTATCTTATATTTTATTAATAAAGGATTTTTGGCCTATATTTTACCTTTTATCCTTAATAATACTTTTATTTTATTTTTTATTTAAAGTTATTTGTATTTTTTATTTATTTTGTTTTATTTATTATCTTTTGGACCTGGTTACTTTTATTCTATACTACTACCTTACGTTCAAGAATCCCAGGTGGGGATGATACCACCTACGCCATAATGTGAGGTAGGCTGAACTTGATGGACGCAAGTCTCTTTTCAGCTATGTAACTATGTAACTATGTAACTATAAGAGTGAGCAGTATTTCCTGCTCACCCAAATGTGAGTATTTTATATTTATTTCACTTTTATATAACTACCACATTGATACAGTGAGCACTAACCTGTGTTATCCTCTTCTTTCCCGAGGACCTCTGCTACGTACATTCGTCTATATCCCACCAGTGGGGGACCAGTACCACTGAATGTGAAGCACACCCGAGCTAGTTTTAGCTCAATTACAGGTGAGTGCGATACTTTTTCACTTCTAATCTCCATATAAAAGCGGAAGATATATTCTACACTATTGGATTT